CCAGCCCTGCCTCTCACTGCAGGCTGGACTGCCTGGCCACCACGCTGCGCTCCGAGGGCTGCCTCGCCATGTACAGAGGTAAGAGCGCGCCGACGCCCGCCCGCTCACCTGCGCGGCCCGGCCCCGGCGCGGCTCCCCCGCTAGCGGCTTCACGAGCTCTGGCCCTTCTCGGTAGTTGCGGCCGGGCTGTGCTGCTGCTGTCCCGGGCACCCGGCTCGCTGCAAGAGCGCCTTGGACAAGGAGGCCCCACGGCGAGGCGAGGCGAGGCGATGCAGGTTCCCGCTTGTCTGGATAACGGGAGCCGAGGCCTCCTTGAACGCAGCCCCGCTGTCTAGATCTCTGACCAGACCCGTCTGAACGGCAGGACGCGCTTTAACTCTGCCCGCGCAGCCCCCGCTCCGCAACCGCCCTGGGCCTGGGCCTGGCCCGCACGGCTGGGGCACGGGGAGACGGGCACACCACGGTCCTCCAGACGCTGACACTCGGGGCAGGTGAAAGTCGAGTTGCACAATGGTGCGTGGGCGACCCGAGGGGCGTCTGCCCAGGAAGGATGCTCCCCCGATAACTCCAGTTACCAAAAGTTAATTCCGTTTTTGGGAAGCCAAACCCAGTGCTGAGACCTTTGCCAAAGGGAAGCACTCGCAGTGTGGGAAGGCAGTTTTGGCAAGGAACGGTTCCATAACACACAGCCAGCGGTGATCTTGTATTTTAAATGGAGCATGGAGGTAGATGCAGTACTGACTGGCAGTTTTTATTGCAAACGTCTCTGCAAAGCAACACGTTGTTAGTTGTATCTGGTTCACGTCGCAGCCCCGGCTGCTTGGGCTTTGAAGGCTAGTCGAATCTGGCCAAGCCTTGAGGGAACATCCAACAGATGTGCGCTGCTGCCAACTGTTGGGAATGGACGTGGCTCCTTTTTTCCCTGACCTCGCACACTGCCTGTCTTTAGGTGTCTCTTCTCTTTATACTGCACAATGTTTCTCTTAATTTCTGTATAAATTTTCTGTGCCAAGCACCCATTTTCAAGGCTTACCCGTGTTCTGAGAGTTGCTCTTGGATTTGGTGTCCCAACAAGGAAAGATGGTTTGCAAGTTGAACAAAAAAATGTCCCTAGTCTTGTTTCCCACGCTGGAAGATGGGCTGTAACTTCACAGACCTTCTAAGCCTTTGGTGAGAGAGGACCTTTCTGGCTGAGTCGCGCTAGGAGCTCCAATACAGGAGCGTAAGAGACCAGCACGATTTATACATTAATATGACTAAGTCGGTGAGTTCTAGAGATCTTTAGTACTGAAAGTTAGGAATCTGGCAAATGTACTTGTTCGTACCTTGGCCTCTTCACAGCCTGCTGATCTCCGTTTCGCTGCTGGACAGACTCGGGGCATTTGCTCGTACCTCCACGGCCCCCGGCCAGTATTCCTGCTACCTTTTTTTTGTATCGCGTTCCTGCAAGAAATGCCTATGCCCACTTTGCTGCTGCACGCTCAAGGAGAGGGCACAGCCTCTCAGAAGTCCCATTTGGAAACAAGACTGCTCTTCCTTCCTTTCCCATTTGCCTTGCTTAATTAATATCTTTGCTGCTCTCTGTTGCGCAGCTCATATTTCCCCACCATGTCTGTTTTTTATGCTGTGCATTTCATAAATGAGATGGTCATTGTTTCTAACAAACAGATTGTAGCTGTAAGAGTCATTATTCTACCTATTAAGACACTCTGGGCATAACCGTTGACTTGGGGAATAAAAGATTATCTAACCCTAAAACACAGGCTGTGTTCACTTGAGTTAATGGCTAATCTCCACTGCTGTGTAATGTTAGAAGTAAACCTACAGTTGATAGGAGCAGCTGTCCAGCTAACAGAGCACTGGCACCCTGTGTCCTCAGCTTTCCGTCTGCAAAGTCTTTGTGGCTTTCATTCATTTAAAATAAGGTCTTGGAGTTTAAGCACTTGGGGCTTGTCTTCAGAGTTAGTTAACAGATTTTTTCCCCTTAATATAATACATAGTGTACTAGAGAGCAGCATTTGTGCTGGTCAAAAGTTGTACCTCGCCACCATCCATGACAGTTGCCCTGGGCAAAGACTTTACTGTAACTCTGCCAAATCACATCCGGGTATGCTGCGTCCAAGTCTCTGCTGCAGTTCAAATGGATGAAGACATGGGAATCAGGCTTTTGTCACCTACCCCTGTTTCAAGACCCTTGCCAAATACAGAGCTACACTTCCTAAAAAGCCATACGTTTGAATTTGCACAACATGCATCCCACACACACTCACTTTTCAGTGCTCAGTAATCCCAGGTGACATGAAACTGAAGCATCTCCTCTGGGGAGGCTGCAGCCACAGCTGTTGGGATAGGTTAGCAATTTCTGAAAGCTATAAATAAAACTTCCCTGCAATTAAGCAGCAGTGCTTTATTTTTAGGTGCTGCAGTAAATCTGACACTAGTAACACCTGAGAAAGCAATCAAGCTGGCTGCAAATGATTATTTCAGACACCTCTTGGCCAGGGATGGGTATGTTGCTTTTTTTTCTTTACGTTATAATCTGGCGTTGAATTTAGAGTTGGGTTTAACCATCTAGTTTGGCCTTGTCTTTCTGTGGAGTACTTAGTGGAGACGAGGCTTACTTTAAATAAACAAAATGCTGCTCTCTCCAAGCCCCTCGAACCTTTGGTGTGAGATGCATGCAAGTGGCACATTGGGGAGGCATTGTCAGCTGCACTTGGTGTTTGATCAGATGATACAGCAATGGGACTTGAATAAATTCATAGATGCGTATGGCTCTGAAGGGCTGCGGGTCTGGAACTCTTGCTAATCCAAGCAGTCCCTCTTAAATGAATGGAGGCCAGGTTTCCACTGGAATCAGGAGGGCAGCGTGCGTACAGTCGCAATCGGGGCCAAAGTTATTAGTAAGCTTTTTAAGGCACGTTCACTTTTTATCAGGAGTCTTCTGGGTGGCAAAACAGGCCGGTAGGTCCCGACTCTCGTTACATGTCAGATTTAAAAACATGAAGTGTGTTTGGTGCTGGAATGAGATGCTAAACCTTTCTCTCTCAGGCTGGAAATGGCTCTTCTTTCCAGTTGCATTAGGCAGTAACTTCTTTCCTGTGCTGAAATGAAGTTAACTGTTTAGCGGAACTTCTGGTTATGTATTTTATGATGCCCAGGATGGTGGGAATAACTAACTGATGCAACACAAGGTTGGGTAATTTAACACGTTGATTTGGCAGGCAGCGTTACCTTGTGGACTGCTTCTAGATACAGAAGTAAGGTTACACAGGATGAGGCAAACAAATGCCTCACCGTGCCATGTGCTTTTTGCTCAAAACCCAAACCCTCACTTGGTCATAATTTTGTTCTTTTCCTTCCCAATCCAGAATGGGCCTGACCATACCCAGAGAGATGGTGGCAGGTTGTGGTGCTGGAACATGCCAGGTCATTATTACCACTCCCATGGAGATGCTAAAAATCCAGTTACAGGATGCGGGGAGAGTAGGTAATTGAGAACCGCCCCCCCTTGTTTTCAGTGGGAGTTTGGGATGTTAATGCATATCAGCTCTGTTACAGTCACACTTCACGTGCATACAAACTTGAAGCTGTCTGCTAGGGTTGTTAGCATTACTTCAGGATTGCTGGCAAGCGGTCAAAGATAACCGGTGCGTATCAGTCTTAGCACCCAGCTCTGGTTCCAGGAAGAGGTGGCAGAAGGAACTCTTGCCCTGATGCAATATCTAGCCATGGTGATTGATAAATATGGTGATGTACTCGGCAAGACTCAGCAGCTCTGCAATCTCTCTTCCGCAAGTAGAGACATCAGCTTTTCAACAAGATTTGTTGCATACAGGACAGTGCTCTAGGCAGTGGCAGTAGCCAGATGCGTCCAGCCTCCGCAGCAGAGTTGGGGTGGGCCAGAGGGTTTGCTCTCTGGGGTGATAGGCAGGGAAGTGGGAGGGAGTGGCCTGAAAAGGAGTTTTCAAGTTCTGGCGGGGGTTTGGAGAATCTGCCTTGTCTTATAAATTGTTTGTAAACTTGTGCTATAAGCCACCCAG